GAAAAGCAGCTACCATTTCAGAAGCAAAGGGGTGCGTTTCTCTTGTCAACACACAGACACCAGCTCTGCTAGGGAACATCAGCCTTCTCCATCCGCTGAAGACTCCCTCCCTCTCTGACCTCCAGCGCCCGGTCCATCTTGCAATCCCAAGGCCTGACCCTGGCCGCGGTCCACACCGCCCTCCGGCACCCTGGTGCTCGGGGTGGACGGCATCGCTGGAGCCCAGACTGCTGCTGCAGGTTCCTGTGACCTTGGCCAGGTAACTTTCCTCCTTCCTCCCGACTTACAGAAATGGGATTGTTGCAAGTGGGCAGAACAGAAAGAGAAACTTAAAGGTGAAAAAGAAGAGGCTCAGTGCCTGCCATTCAGCACTTTGATACAGGTTCATGTGCATTCCAGGTGTCAGAACCCAGAGGGTTTCACGGAAAAGCCTTCAGTTTTAAAGGCGGTGCAAGCCTGGGGTTCACATTCAAAGGAAGCCGACTTCCAGCTGCTTTATAAGGATTTTGATGCTGCAACAGAGCAAAGCGTCTTCCTATTTTCAACCCTAGCAATTTGGTTCAAACATGATCTGAACCACTTTAAGCTTTGATATTTCCAGTCACCTGTTATGCCGTATTTTCTCTTAATGCCACCAATCATGTGTGAAATTCTGTTGCAAAACTAACCTTTGTGGGAAATGATATGTAATGACTTCTTTAAAGAGAGACGCACTCAGAGAAAGGGCAGTAACCGTGACCTTCGTTGTTTTTCAACATGTTTCTCACAGTGTCGCACAAATCGAAACAGCTCCTTCTCAAGGTCAAAGTCAAAATAGTTTTCTGCTTATACAACCATCACTCTCTCTTAAGCAGGAGAGGCCACAAAAATTATCCTTATGACTTGACTTTAAAAACCTCTAAGCGATATAATGGTTGATAAACTTGAAAGCCAGCTGTTATCAAAATAGTTTCATATCCATCTTATTAAATCAATTCTTAAAGTCTTGCATTGCAAAGGATGTGAAAAGATTTAGGAATCCACAAGAGATGTGACTGAGAAATGAATGTCAGGGTATTTATATAACAAGGCACTATTTGATGATCCAGTGTTACACACACACACCCCACATACACACACACAAACACACACTACACACACAGTCACACACACACCCCCACACGCACACACACACACTAGCCAACTCTTCTGGTGGTATCATGGGAGGTTTCAGTCAAAAGCAGCTGTGACCAAATACTCTGCAATGGAAGTCAGAAACCACTAATTCAAATTTTTCATTTGTTTCTTGGAACAATCATGCCACCAACAAAAGGGCGACTTTGCGAGTCGTCAGTAGCTCATGAATTTGGAACACATCCCTTAAATAAACCCATCTCATCTCCATATAGTTACAGCCACTAAGAAGATCCTGAAAAACAGAGAACAGCCTAGCTCGAGATGTGAGGGTCCTCGTAAAGAGCCCATGTTGCCGACACGCTGATCATACTGGAACTTCAGCTTCTGGAAGTGAGAGAGGCTCCGAACTCTGGAGGAGAGGCCCCTCAGTTCTCAGGTGAGCCCCTCCCCGCCAGGTCCTCCGCCCCGTCACGTGGAGATTGACTGCATGCCGCTTGGAAGCATTTGTAGTGGCACACAGCGGTGATGGCTTCAAACCTTGAAAAGGGTGACCTGGACTCACGGATCCCTCCTGAATTATCCTCTCCCCGGAAGCCTAGGAAAATAGAAGCCTGTCCAGTGTGTTCGAGAGACTCAGGTGGACCTGATCCCCTTAACAGGTCACCCATGCAGACTAAGTAGGGCGAGTTAAATGTTTCCCCTGAAAACGTACACCAAAAGAAGGATGCCTTTCTCTGCTGCTGCTGTTTTCTGCTCATTTCCTTCCTCCTACCCTTGCCGCTTAACTGTTTTTCTAACATACTGCTTTGGAGGTGAAACTTGATGGCCCAACTGCAACCAAAAGTATAAATGCTGACTAGAGAATGTTTTAAGCATCCCAGGGGAAACACAGAGTCCTTCCTATGACAGTGTACAAACGTGTCTATCATAGGCAGGGGAACAGGCTGCTGGTCTAGAATTTTCCTGGAGATTTTTTTTTTCCCTAGCTGTTATATCAAAAGCTTCCTCCATCAGTGATAGGCACACCACACAGGTCTTTTTCTGGTTTTTCCAAGGCATTTGAAGGGAGACAGCTGATCCACAGTTAATACCTCTGCTGAACTTGAATGGCTGGTTGGCACTTTCTCAATCTTGCTCGCCCTTTTTTTCTGGGCTTAACAACTCTGTCAACAGTACCAGCATCCAGAGTGAGCTCTACTGTTTGCCTCCGAGTTCTGCTCACTTGTGGAAGGCGCATCCTTTCTGTTTCTCACAGCAGGGTCCTCAGGGAGCAAGCCCCGGGTCCTGCCTGGCGGTGACCGCCCCGGGGGCTCCGTCTGGTTGGCCTCCGGCCACACGGAGTCTCCTCGATGTCAGAAGTCTCCCGCTTTCTCTGCGGACGGCAAAGCCTTGGGACACGACAGCTCTCTGGCCAACTGGGGACCACTTGTGAGGCTGGCAGGGCCGGGCGGCCGCGGAGAAGGGCGCAGGGCAGATGGAAAGCGGCGATGATGAGTCAGACCGGGAGCCTCGGGCAGGAAGGCCTCGGCCTCCTGCAGATGCGCCGCCCAGACCTCACCGTGACCGGCTGGCACAGGGCGGGCCTGCAGAACCCACGAAGCCCCGACCTCTGCCTCCTCTGGGGGAGCCTCTCAGCTGCCGGCTTATACTTCTGGATCCGTTATTATTATTACTTTTTTAATTAATTCACTGTCACTAGGCCTCATTTGCAAACTGAGGATCGCAGTTCTAACATTTGTCATCTGTCCACACAGCTCGTGGGATCTTAGTTCCCTGACCAGAGATCGAACCCGTGTCCTCGATAGGCAAAGTGCCTGACCACTGGACCACCGGGGAATTCCCTATTTCTGGATCAGATACTAATGGCTCTTCATCCTTGGCACATGTCACTTTTAAGTATGTCAAATACTCCCGGGGGTGAGGAGGGTAACTTCAGAAGTCTTCCTGATTTTTCTCCTGCTTTTAGAGTAAATTCCAACCTGCCTACTCACTGGGATTTTTCCTCCCTCCTTTCTTGTGGGTGAACTTGATTTTTAACTCCAAGTAATGAATGCAAGATCGATAGAATAAGGAACAAAAGTATCCACGGCGACTGACAGCAAACTCTTAAATCACAGCGCGGTAAGTGCAAACATGCAATTATTGAAAACACAGCACTAACATTTCAGTAGGAGATAAGAGTGAGGCTTAAGTCATTAAAAGACTCCATTAGTCTCGTGAGTCTGAGACACATGCAAAACATGAGGTGTTCTGGAGAACTGGAAATAGTGCATCTTCCACCAACACGCACACACACAGCTGACCGACTGAGAAAGACAGGGTCCAGGCGTCCCGCCCCTAAGGGCAAGGGGTCTCCGGAGGGGCAGAGGGTGGGCCAGTGCGTCCGGCGATGGGTCCTCGGTCATACCTGAAAGGCGGCGGCAGGGGAGCACCACTGACGAATCAGATGGTTTGCGTGGGAAGTAAATATCCTGCCTGCATATCAGTTCCCTGGGTGTTTCAGCATCACCCTGCTCTCGGTCACTCCCTGCTGGGGACACAAGAAAAGACTTCTGACACCGCGACCCCACTCCCACAAATCACCAGGAAGGCCCGAGAACGCAGCCCTGCCTTCCCTTTGTCCCTGTCCTCCCTGACTTGAGAAACACTTGACAGCCGAAATGTGAAGAAGACAGTCACGGGCAGCCAAACGGCAAAGTGAAAGCACTGTTTTGAAAAAAAATGCCCTGAAGTAGCTGCATACACATAAATGCACGTGTGCGCCTGCATGCATACTCTCAGGGAGGTGCACCATTAAAATGCTATTGAGTCTTAACACGCCTGGCTTGCACTGTCAATTCTGGCCCGAGATAATGGGCCACACATGTCATGACAGACAGCTGTGCTCCCCAAGTTCCGGATGTCAAACAGCCCGAGAGAGGGGGTGCACAGCAGAACCTGAAAGAAACAGCATTCCTAAATACATAGGATTTTCTCTGAGAATAGAAAAGCATATCTCCTGCTGGGACTGTGGTAAGCCTGAACCGCGCTCATGACACAGAGAACAACCTTAGCCTTTCCTTTAAAAGAATACAATTTCATCTCAAAAAGGACATCACATTTCAGGGTGAGCTATTAAAAACTTGAATTGCACAGTGAAACTAATTGCCCTGTGAATCACCCTGCTTTACAGACGGCTGGACGATCATGCAGTTAACAATACGTGCCAGCCCAGTGGATACTTCTCCAAGAGACACACGAAAATCCAACACAGCACAGATGGCCTTTGGAACACTACTTGAAGACCACACTACTGCTCCGGTTAACGCTACATCCTTACCACCATCACCTCAGGCATTACTGCAAGACGCTGAAAACTTTAATATTATAATCTTCCTTTCCATCCCTCAAATACCATTACTGGTGATAAAATGTTATTTTATTCAAAAGGCAGGTTGTCTTTACAAGCTTTGCAGGTATTAAAAACATATTCACGGTAAACACTTGCTATTTTATGAACTGCCAATAAAGACGTTACCACCTCCATCAATATCACAGCCTGGAGCATTAACACTGGATTCTGCTTAAATCTGGCTATGCAATGAGCCTTTCCTTCAAATCATCGTTAGTTATTTTTAAGCTGTCTTTTCTGATATGACACAAATTATAGGGAAATCAAAACTGTGATCAAGACAATTAAATGAGCGGTCAGCTTTCACATACTTTCGCAAATGTTTCAAAGGCTCAAGCAAACAATATAAGTACACACCGAAAATAAACACCCAGGAAACTAACACTGCCCCAACGCAAGTTAATCGAAATACCTCTTTAACTGAAAAATGACCCTAGCTTTATTGTTTCAAGCAAGTCAACCAATCACCCGGAGCATCAGCACCTTGGAATACTCCCTCCCGGGCCTCTTAGCGGCCCTCTCAGAGCTGTTAATACCGGATAGATGCCCTTCGGTGCTGACGCGGGATAGCACTTACAGAAGGAAAGCATAGCTCCGGGAGGAGGGCTCGGTGTCCGTCTAACCCTGGGCTTGCAGTTCAGGGCAGGGCTCCGCCGTCCCCCCGGCCGTCAGGCGCCGCGTTCCGGTGCGAACGCTCGGCTCCCAGCCCGCTGACATCGCTCCTCAGCGAGCCGAGCTCTAAGTCAGCCTGAACATGCTCTCCCGAAAGGCAGGCGGCTCGGGGAGACCTGCGGGAGGTTTCCAGCGCGGCACGCAACTCAACTGCACACACATTTAACGGCTCCGAGCCCTCCAGAGGTTTAAAAGACTGTGCATTCCGTGCCAGGCGCCGGAGCTCGATGGAAAACCGGGAATGGGGAGAAAGGCTGTTCTGAGCGGCTCGGGCAGCGCGCACCCAGGGCTGTCCTCCCGTCCTCCTCCGAACCGGGGGCACGCCGACACGCCTCTGAGCCGCGGGCACGGCCGGCTCCCAGAGCATCTGCAGGACCAACTTCGCCTGGCACCCCAGCAAGTTCGCCCCGGACTTTCCCACGCCGCCCCCCGCCCTCCCCTCTGAGATGTCCTCCCCGCGCACACGCGGCGGGTGAAGTTGGGGCCCCCCACGCCCGGCTCTCCTCTCGTCCAACTTCGACTCCCCCACGCCTTGCGCCCGGCCCCGCGCGCGGCAGAAAGGCGCTCGGGGGCCGCGCGGGTTCCCCGGTGCCCGCCGGCGTGGGGGTGGGGGGGGGGTCACCGGGACGGATCCCGGGGCTTCCCGCGCCGGGGCCCCCCAGAAGGGCGCCATGGGAGCGCGCACTCACCGAGATACATGCTGCGTCTCCCGGCGCCCGGCCGGAGCCCCGGCGGCGTGCGGGGCCTGGGCGCTCAGGCCGCCGCCTCCCCCGCGGCCCGCGGTCCCCGGCGGCCGGAGCGAGCGCCCGCGCCGCCCATCCCCGCCGCCCGCCGGCTCCGCCTCGCGGTGTCCCCGCCGCGCCTGTGACATCAGGGCCCGGAGCGCGGCGGGCGGCCGCCCCCACCCCGCCCCCGGCCCGCGCCCGCGCCGCCCGGACCGGCCTGCAGCCCCGGGGGCGCGCGGGGGGGCGGGGGGAGGCTGGCTGAGGGCGAGGACTGGCCCCACGTCCGCGGAGGCGCGCGCGGGGGACCCCCACCGGAGCCGGGGGTCCGGGGGGCGAGGTCGGCCCCTCTCGCGAAATTCAACCCCCGCGCGCCCCGCCCTCCCGCGGGAAAGGCAGCGTCCTCGCCGCAGCCAGCCGCCCCTCCCGAGCTGAACGCGCGGGGGAGGACCGTGCCCCGCGCCTGCACCCCCGCGGCGGGGGCTTCAGGGTTGGCGGTGGGCGGTGACGTTCACCCTAAAGACTCCAGGGGCCACGGCTAGGGTAATAGAGGTCTCCACGGAGCGGTGATCAGGTCACAGACCCCAGCAGCGGGAGAAGAGTTACCTTTATTTCTCGAGTAGTGGCTGAGCTGGGTTGATCGAGAAATGTACAGGAGAATAACTGGTGACAAAAGTCAACTGGCACGTTCAGATCACGTTTGCTGTGTCTCCCTGAGCAGGCACCAGAAGGGCGCTGAGCCTGAAATGGCCCTTCACCCCTAAGGGGGACGGACATTTCGGCCTGAAAAATAACCAAGATTGTGGCATAATTTAACTCGGGTCACCAGTGTAACACACGCACACACGCACTCCCCTTAAATCTGAGAGGGACAGTCAAGAGAGGCAAAGCTTAGCAAAGCCTCTGGCTCCTCCAATGGTCTAATGAATTGCAGTCCTTATCTTACATTAAAAAAAAAAAAAAAGATGTTTGAAAGAAATCCCTGAACAGTGCACTGATTAATACTTAAACGCTCTGCATACAAAATAAACCCGTAGAGCAAGTTTAGTTTCATAAGCACTCATCTCTTTGAGACCCAGCTTACCTACTGGACCATTTAAACGTAATCATTTTCACAAAAATCCATTAAGCTAAGAATCGAAGATATTATTGATAACTCATAATGGAAATGAATGTAAAAAAGAAAACACAAAGAGAAAGAAAAAAAAAAAACTGAAGATAAAGAAAGAAGGGCGGTAGCCTGGGGCACTTGCCATGTTTTACAGGCGTTTGGATAAGCCACGGCAGCGGATGTTTCTACACTGTGATATTAAAATTCTCCACGGTCTTTCCTTGCATAGTTCTGTATGGTCGGTGATATAATGCATCTTGGAATTGGGGGGGGGGGGGGGGCCGAAGCTCCTAAGAGCTTGCTCTGCAATCTGACAATGGATTTGGTGAATGCGAATAGGTTATGATACATAAATCAGAGACTTTAGGTTGAGTCTCAGCACAAATCTGGTGCTCTTTCAGAAGTATTCTTCATTTAAAGCAATTTGGAAGAAGAAAATGTCAACAGTACAGAATATTTACTTTTCTTTCTCCTATTTTTAATTTAAAACTAAAAGGAACGTTACAAGAAATTCCTGGAGAAAACAGAAGTGTTTTTCCTTTTGGACAGATGGAAGGCATCCAGAAGTAACAATTAACGGCCTTTCCCTTAGGCAGGAGGACCATCTGTGGTCGAGCCTCTTCCTGAAGCTCGGCGGCTGTCCTGACGGCCCACGCGCGCTAGGGGGCGCCCAGGGGCAACGCTCGCGTTCTTGGTCCTTTTGACTTTCTGTAGGTAGAAGGTGTGAGCGCTGAGAGTTGCTTTAAGGCAGGAGATTTAGGACAGCAGAGCGCTGTTTTAAATCATTAACAACACTCTTGAGTTTGCATGGCCTTCTGCAGTCACGAGGTCTTTTCACTTACGTCATCTTTCTTACCAACAAGCTGAGATCTCAAAAGGTGTCTGTTATAATCACGATTACCTGAGACTCAGACATCTAGGCAACTTTTTCAGTGACAGCGGTAAATGTCTGCCCAGAACCGTTGTCTTGCTATTTGTATGCTGAATTTATGTTCCAGCCCCTAGCAGAGCGCTTTATTCAAATATATAAATTCTAAATTTCCCATTTACAGTGACCCACGTAAACGCCTTCTCCAATCACATTACATCGCTGCCTGTTTCAGAAAAGTGCGTGCATCTGTCGTCGTGCTGTGAAGAGAGAGGCAGCGAGTATTTGATACGAGGACATTCCAGCCTCTGCAGGGTCGGAGAGAGCCGCGTGTAGCCTCCAAGGAGTGTGGCATCCGGGAGCAACTGAATGCTACATTCATACCCTGGAATTCTGTTCAAACCAAAAACAGGAGTGTCTGCTTTATTTAAACATGCACGCCCCACCCACCTGCATTTCAGGGTCATCTGGAATGTCAAGACCTCAGCGTGGCTTATTTCTAGATGGAAAACAAGTGATTAATTTTCACTGTATACTCATTAGCGTTTCTTTTAAAGTGACTTTGAGTGTATAGATTATAGAGAAAAAATGCGACTGTTTTTATTTGGAAACAAAATGACATCTAAATAAAGGCCCGGCTGAGGCTGGCTGGACGTGCGGTCGTGAGCCTCCCAGCCGACAGGGAGCCGGCCCGCGGCTCCCAGGGAGTCTGTACGCACAGCCGCGGCCTCTTCGTCTCTCGGAGCTTCTGAGGAGCCAAGAGGTTCCTAGCAGGAGCTGGGTCGCTGCTCGCCAGCCAGCAACAGGCCGCTCGCCGGTAAGACCAAAGACGCCCTGAGACCGGGCGCACACCCGGAGTGCAGACCTGCGAAGACAGGGATTTTCCCTCTGCTCAGATGAACAGAGAGCTGCCCGCGCGGCCCGCCGGCCTCCTCCAAGTCTTATTCCAGGTTTGTGTGCGGTCTCCCTGTTCTCTCTCTGTCGTTCAGACAGCCTCCGACCATCGCGGCTCTTCTTCCGCCGCTTGCTCCGCTCTGAGTCTCCGAAGCACTTCTCACCATCCGGCCAGTGCTGCGGCATCTGCTTATTTGGATCCCTCTTCACTGGAAAGCGATCTACAGGAGGGCGTTTGGTCGTTGCTCACTGCTGTCTCCACCGTCCTTCCAAGGGTACGCGCCGCTTGTTGCTTCTCGGGAGACATCCGAGAAGGAAGGAATGAACACACCTGAGTGCACCCGTACTGTGGGTAAAGCATCGTACTTTTCCAAGTGTCTACAGTCGTTTCTCTGAGGCGGATGGTGTTCGGTGCAAAGCATCTGCACAAACCCAGTGTGTCCACGCCTAGCAGCAGGGCTTCCCAGTGGCTGGGTGCTAAAGAAGCCGCCTGCCGCGCTGGAGACGCAGGAGACGCGGATCCGATCCCCGGGTGGGGAAGGTCCCCTGGGGGAGGGCATGGCCACCCACCCCAGCGTTCTTGCCCGGAGAATCCCACGGCCAGAGCCTGGCGGGCTCCAGTCCGTGGGGCTGCAGAGTCGGCCGCGGCTGAGGCGGCGGAGCACGTACGCACCCTGCTGAGCAGCGGCTGTCCTTGTTCCAGCGGCGCAGACGCCAGGGGGCCCTGCAGACCACAGCCTGTGAGCGGTGCTGGCCGGGTTCTCACAGCTCAGCGCGCAGGCACTCAGCGCTGACTCTGCACGGCTGGCCGAGTCTCCCACTGCCTTCCCCGGAGCCTTCGATTTGTCCACTTTCATCTCTTATTTGTATCCCAGCAAGAACATTTTATCCAGTGCTCCCTATATCAGGCTTGCCTGTGTCCAACCCATTCTCCATAATAGATCCATTAGTATCTTTCTAAATGAACGTGATCAAGTCACCCCCTGGTCCACACTGCTCACCGTCTATTTCACCTCCACAGGCGGTAGGCCCTTTCACAACTAGCCCCGGTAATGCCTCCATCAGGCACGCTTTCCCCTCCACAGGTTTCACTCCGGCCCACCCCATCCAGAGGTCCTCTGAAGACTTTATTCCTCTCTCCTCCTCTCTTTCCCTAACAGCTCTTGTTCAACCTATGTGTCTCTGGGTAACGACTATTTCTGCTGAGAGCCTTTCATAACCTCAAGACTGAATGAGGTGCTGATACGTCTTCTTCATGCAGCCTATTATCTAATTCCTGCATTAGCACTTAAACAGTGTGGGAATTTCCCCTTCTCCATCTCCTAAGTGAAAGGGGGTGATCTTCTTTATTTTAATCTCCAAGACCTAGTACAGATCAGCATTTAATGAATGGATTATTTATCTTTGCATTCATTCCGTATTTATTGAATAAAGTCAATATCTTTTGAAGGTCTACTTCATGCCATAGGTTTCACTAGCAATAGATAAAGAACACTGAAGAAAGTACACAGGGCCATGGGTACACCCCTGCGGGCTGCAAGAAAGAGCAGAAAGACCTGCCCGTGCAGAAGGAGGTATAAGGAGGATGCTAATAACTGAAGTCAAACAGATCACATGGAACCCAATTCAGCAGAACACTGGTAGGCTGTATCATAGGGATTTAGACTTTTATTCTGACTTACATAGAATGCCTTTGCAGCAACATAATTTGACATGTTTTAACAGGTTCACTATAGCTACTGTATGGAGAATAGATAAAAGGGAGCAAAGGAAAATGTAGGAAGACTTTGTAATAATATAGAAAGAAATGGTGATCTGGACTGGACGAAGCAGTGGATTCGAGTCTATACATATGACAAAGTGGGTCAACAGGATTTCTTGATGAGTTGGGAAAGTGATGGAAAAGAAAAAAAAAAAAGAAGCAACAGATTATTTGACGTTTGGGGACTGAGCAATTGGAAGATAAAATTTCTACTAACTGATAAGAAGACTGTGGAGAAATACGTCTGGGTGGGGTTAGAAGGTAGGCAATGTGGGGCATATTTAATTTGAGTCCTCTTATGTATTCAAGTGAAAATGTTCCCTCCCTGCGAGTTTGGCTTATGTGACTCTGGAGTTCAGGGGCGATGCCTGAACTTCATATTTAAATTTAAATTCGTCATTTGTCTCATTTGTTTACATTCCACATATGAGTGATGTCATATGATCTTTGTCTTTTTCTGTCTGGATTCCTTCATTTAGTGTGATAATCTCTAGGTCCATTCATGCCGCTAGAGATGGCGTTGCTTCACTTGTTTTAGTGGGTAATGTTCCATCAGGCGTGTACACCGCATCCCCGCCCACTCCCATCCACAGACACCGAGGTTGCTCCCGTGGCCTGGCTACTGCAAGTGGTGCTGCGGTGAACACTGGGGGACGTGTGTCTTTTCAGATTATGATTTTCTCTGGACGTGTGCCCAGGAGTGGGACTGCCGGATCATATCGTAGCTCTATTTTTAGCTTTTGAAGGGACCTCTGTAGTGGCTCACCCCTTCACACTCCCACCAGCAGTGTAGGAGGGCGCCTTCTTCTCCACACGCCTTTCAGCATTTATAATGAACTGATTTACAAAACAGAAGTAGACTCACAAACACAGAAATAAAAACCTCTGGTTTCCAAGTTAGGACTATGGGATTAATATATACACACTACTATATATAAAATAGAGAACCAACAAAAGATCTACTGTATAGCACAGGGAACTATAATCAATATTTTGTGATAACCTGTAACAGGAAAGAATCTGAAAATGAATATATATACATATATATATAATCATGCATATATGATTCAGCTATGCCTATATGTATGTATAACTGAATCATTTTGCTATGCACCTGAAACTAACACATTGTAAATCAACTATACTTCAATTTTTTTAAAAAAAGAGGAGAAAAAAGCAATAAAAAAATAAAGTTGTATTTTCTAATTAAAAAGTCACAATCTTACAAATGGTGATTAATCCATGAGCCCAGGTGAAACCTTCAAGGGAATATAGATGGAAAAGCTAGAATAGGGTCAACAATGAACCCTGGAGAATTATACATGCAAGAGGTCTATGTGTGGAATCAGATGATGGAATATTTCTTGAAAGCACAATAATCTGTTGAATGGATATTTGTTGACATATGAATGACATTTGATGGAAGGCTATTTATTTTAAGCTTGAGTTTGCCTCTAACATACCACCACCCAATGTCAAAACAGTTTGAAAAATGAAGAAATAAGTAATTTATGAACAAATGACTAGTTCAATGGATCCATGTAGTATAGTGATCAGATTTTTTTTAGATTGTATAGATACAACTACAAACTCATAAATCTTTGATTTCGACTTGATGCTTCCATTGAAATTAAATGCTTAGGGACCTTACTATGGAAAATTAATACCCTATAGTAAAAGAAGTGTTGATATTGTGATAATAATAAATTGTTTAAATTCTTTAAATTTTAAAATTCTATAAATAATAAAATATTCTAAAATTCTAAGTAGCTGAATTTTCCCAACTTCCGAGACATCTAATAAATCCATTCTATGTGTGATCAATTAACAGGGCTTTTTTTAAAAAATAAGGTTTACTAACTGGCATTAAGAACCTTCTTAGAATCCTTAACCTTGGAGGTGGCTATGACCCAGGCATATTTACTCATTCAAAAAAACAGTTCCTGGGTACTCATGTGCCAAACGCTGTTCCAGGTGCCGAGGTACAACTGATGAAAACGCAGAGTGCCCAGGGCTCGCATTCTTGGGATGTCCACAGCCTCATCTATCTGGTAGGATTTGGAACCTCTTCTGCCTCTGTCTCACGCAGGGGAAGACTCATAGCATCCTTCTTCTCGTTCATTCACTGGTTACAGCTTACTGCTGCTTTGCCTCCGATAGAATGACACGCGGGCAGGGTACACCCACCCTGCTCACGCTGCACCAGCACCTCAAAAGGGTCTCAACAATAGGAGGCAAGCAATAAATATTCATTTTATTAATTTATCACTTATTTGAATGAATGAATATCTCAAAAGTCTTCCATATGATGCCCCATCCTGATTCTACTGTGTGTGCATGCTAAGTCGCTTCAGTAATGTCCAGCTCTTTGAGACCCTGTGGACTGTAGCCCACCAGGCTCCTCTGTCCGTGGGATTCTCCAGGCAAGAATACTGGAGTGGGTTGCCATGCCCTCCTCCAGGGGACCTTCCCTACCTAGGGATCGAAACTGTAGCTCTTATGTCTCCTGCATTGGCAGGCAGATTTTTTACCACTAGCACCACCTGGGAAGCTGAGAATATGGTTGTATTCTATCAGGAATGTCCTTTGCTATTCCCCTTTAAGTGTCAAGATAGTTGCATTCATCACCCAAAACAGCTAAGATATTTTGTTTTCTAAGAAGTCCTCCCTGGGCTTATTTCTGACTCATGTTTCCCTAAGATATTTCCAAACATTGTTTGTGTCACTTTATTACAATGTATTTATGGCTCAACAGGTAAAGAATCCACTGGCCATGCAGGAGACACAGGAGATGAAGGTTCGATCCCTGGGTTGGGAGGATTCCCTGGGGGAGGGCATGGAACCCCACTCCAGGATTCTTGCCTGGGAAATCCCATGGACAGAGGAGCCCGGTGGGCTACAGCCCATGGGGGTCGCAGAGGGTCGGACACATCTGAGCAACTGAGCACGCAGCACTCACGCATTTCAGTAACTGGTCCAGTTATCAGTATTCCTAAAGTAGAATGAAGGTATTTGGGAGTCATGGAAAAATAGATAAATATTAATTCCTTCAGCATTTTAACATATCTCAGAATATAGCAGAAATGCATGCCAAGGCAGTTCGGGTTAGTAACTGGAGCATGCCATTAACACCCCTGACTTGGGAAGCTGCAGCCTTTGCTGAGACTGGAGGTGAGTATCAGAACTACCCAGACAAGGAGGCGACCCCACGAGCCACCTCAGAAGGGAGAGTGAGTCGCAGAGACGGAGGGAAGGCCAGCAGCACCCAAAGACCCGGCAGCCAGGAGGCAAGAGATGGACCAGAGCTGTGGGGGAGCAGGTCAGGAGCCCAGGATTCCTAGAGTCAAGGACACAGAGTTTAGGCAGAGAGGGACTTGGGGAAGTGATCAAAACCCCGCCGCTCTTCCAGGTGGCGTTTCTCAGCACTCCCCCTGCGGGGCCCAGAGCCCTGACTCCCTTACAGCCGGAGCATCACAGGCTCCCTCTCTGAGGCCGCTCAGGCTAGCTCTCTGCCACATCTCTCTTTCTTTGTGTGTTCTCTTTTCCCCCTTCTAAAGCCCTCCAGGGATATGTTCATGTTTTTATCTACTTTTCCATAAGTTTTATATATATCCACTCTTTTTATATTTATCTAAATATTTTCTTCAAAAATCAATGGACATCCCCTAGTTTGGTGCCTTAATCATAGTAAGTTAAATTATTATAACTATTATCATTTCTGTAAAAAAGATAAGTGATGATTCTATATAACAGGACCCTGAACTGAAATATTTAAGCTACTGCTCTGCTCCTCCAGGCACTTGTTGTCTTATTTAAGATGATGATGCTTTCATACAAAAAACAAAAAGTAAAAACAAAGGCAATACTATGCAAATGGTAAGAAAACTCTAGGACACACCCGTAAGGCTTTGATAAAGGAGGAAATTGTAATGGCTTCAAGGCAAACCTGGAAAGCTGAAGAGAAACGGAGTCACTTAACTCAGTCTTTATTAGTGGCCAGGATGGATGAAATGCAGAACCAGTTGGCAGAGGACACAATGTGAGAGTGGAACTGTGAATGGTGTGTCTGGGAGACAGAGAACAAAGAAGTGTTCAAGAGGAAGCCTCGTGAAATGTGTTCACGCAAAGTGAAGCCAAAGAAGGAAACAGGGTCCTTGTTAGATGCGATCTCACATCCCAGCTGAAAGCTTTTGAGTTTAATTTGAATCGTGATGCAAGAAATGTTTCCTGAATGAATATTGGAAGGAAACGCAAAGTGCTTCCAAGGACAGAAATGTAATAATATGCCTCCCAAGATGTTTGCTGACACCCTAACATGAGTTAATACATCTTGTATAGCAGGTTGAAAGATCTTATACACTCCAGAGGTTTCCAATTTTTCTTAAAATAAAATTCATTTATGGCTCCTGGGCAGCAATTTAAGGATTAGCCCTTTCCCCACCCAGCCCCACAAGAAATGTGCTTGCAAACCAAATGGAAGAAGAAAACAACATCATATTGAATTTCGTCTTTTGCTTTCCAAAAAAAAAAGATCTTTCAAGATAAATTGAGTACAGCTCGAGTAAATTTGGATGCTTTAGGTCACAGGCATTCCATTTTTATATACACTGTGATAATAACTATATAGAGCTAGCAGAGAGACAGTGCAGTGCACCCCAACATTGCAAGAATTCTCAAAGTAATTGAAAGTGTTTCCAAGTGTGCTTAATTCTGTGCCTCCAGTCAAATACTGTAGATGGAAATTTGTTTGGCTCCCTCTGTCAAAATGTCTAAAACACATAAAGGGAATGTGTAAATGGAAAACAAAATATTACAGCTTCAACGTTCTTTTAATTATGTCTCAATTTCCATCTTGACTTGGCTCAAATGCAGTAACAATCCTAAGGGCTCATCTCTGATCTTTTTTGGTGGATAAAATGACCGACTGTGATTTTTACCCTTGACTCAAAAGTGTCAGTTCTGGAAATCTACAGTATTTGTCACCATGAATACCATTTAACTGCTGCAGTACCCAAAGGAACTCTGCACAGCCATACGTGAATATGGCTGGAGGAACTTAATTAATCTTGCTGTCACTTCCATGATGCTTTTCATTAGTTTTGCTGCTATCTGATCAGCTGGCCTGCTCTGTACTGGCAAGGGCTACCCACAGCCTCTTGGAGGAGCATTTTGAAAAGGTAAACAAAGACTCACCTTCGTGGTAGGGAGTTCTTATGCAGACAGACATTATTGCTGCTACTCTAATATGGAAGTGACCCTCACGTTTCCTATTTGAGGTCATAAAGTCACAGAAAACATAAATATCTATTCTGTCCCCAGCTGAGAAACTGATTAAAAGTCTGTACACAGAATATATATTTGAAATAAAAGGTCATGTTTTTCTTTCTATTCTTTTCATGAACACACATGCTTAATGCATTATCATGAACTGTACTAATGAAATATAGAATATAAAAGCAGAAGAAATCTAGACATTTTCACTGAACACTGGTAAGAGGATGAAAGTTGGACTTAATTGATAGAATGAAGCAAGTGGATATTCAATGATAGTATCGCTCCCTCTGTGAGTCATAGTTTTGAGAGATCAGTTTAAAATGTATGGATTCTAAGCATAATTTTACTTGGATGCATTGCTTTGCATTATTGTCCCATGCTGACCACAGTTAATTTACTAAAAGGAAACTAGGGAACGTCACTGGCAGACTCCACACTCCCAAGGCAGCAGACAGGGGCTTGTTTGATCCCTGCTCCGGGAACTAAGATCCCACATGCCACATGGCGTAGCCAAAAAAAGAAGAAGAAGAAACTGGGATGATTTTGTAACATGTCCTCACATTCCGACCGTGCGAATGTCGGCTCAGTCTTGTGGGCTAGGCGTGGGGTGCTGGAAAAGGAAGTCAGCAGGGGTTCTCCTCGGTGGTGGCTCTGATGCAGAAATACAAGTCCCGTGCTCCTTCTTCCCGCGTGGAAGCCGGATGAGGTCGGCACAGGCGAAGCAGCTCTGGGGGGTCGCGTCCTCTGGGGGAGGGGCGCTGCCACGCCGTGGGGACACTCTGTGAGCCCGTGAAGAGGTGCAAGCCAACACCCATCACCCGCGTGCCAGGCCGGGGAGTGAGCCACCTTGGAAGTGGACTCGTCAGCCTGGGTGAAGCCTTCACACACCTGCTGCTGTGAGCAGCGTCTTCCGTGCAACTCACGATGGGGGCTTCCCAGGAGGGGCAGTGCTAAAAAACCCACCTGCCCATGCAGAAGACGCAAGAGACTTGACTTCCATCCCTGGGTTGGGAAGATCCCCTGAAGTAGGAAATGGCAACCCGCTCCAGTGTTCCTGCGGGGATAATCCTGTGGACAGAGGAGCCACAAAATCCAGAAATACTGCGCAGCTTCATTACTAAGTCAGGGGCTGACCAGCAAGGATGCGCGTTCTCCAGGATGATCGCTAAGGTCATGATTAGTGACTTCGTTTCTTATGCCTCAAGAAACTTTACTTATCCCTTTATAAAGTTCCCGGGTGTGCCTCCCTGCCTCGAGTGTGGGACCTTGCTTGGAAGGATTAACGTGTCTCATTTATTTAATTATCATCACTGGGTGTTTTTGCAATGCCTGCCCATGAAAGCACCTCACAGATCTCCCTGTGATGAGTTCTTAACTCAGCTGCTAGGAGTGCTTCAGACAGAAGGCCCTTCAGATATTGTCTCAGCTGCTAGGACCTGCATTGCTAAGGTTTTTCTGCCCTGTGTGTTGGACCACATCAGTGATCAAGGTGGAAATAAAAGGTCTGGCCACCTCAGACCAACTTGGAACAACCTGGTCACGTTGGGCCATTTCAGTGCCAGAGGGTCCAACGCTGCCTCTGGACCTGCATCCCAGCTCGACTTGCCTTTCTCCCCAGCCCCTTTCCTCTTCTCCCTTGCACACTGCGGACGCAGAGAGTTCCTGGAGAAACGCCCTGCCTGCAGACCATCGTCCCTGTTTCCCGGACAACCCATCGCCTGACACTGTCGACGAGGAGGCACTCAGTACATATGTGGTGGTTTAACTAAGTCCCAAGTACCTAAGGTCAAACAAGACTAATTTCACAAGGAAGAAAGCAGGCTGACCCCCCAAGAAGTCTTTGAAATTGCCAGATAATTGAGAAAGAAGACCCACTTTTCTCCAGAGACTTGTTGATTTGGGAATCAGTGTGAAGATAGGAAAGCCCAGAATTTAAATGAATGCCCTGGTCCACGTGCCCTGTCTGAGTGACAGTGATGGCTCAGAGCTGTCAGGCCTGCCAAGAGGTGCTCGACCATGAAGCTCTCCTCCTTCTTGTCAACAGAGGTAATCGCTCAGCATTTTATCTTTTCTAGAAGGTGCCATTACTTTGAAAAGACATTGAGAGTCTCACAGGGGTTTCTATGTAGTGGCATGCTGTCTCTTCACCTTCAATTAAAAAAAAAAATCTAGAGGAGAGACCCTAATTCATTGGAGCATGAGGAAATAGCTTTAAGGAACTTGCATCATTTTGAAGTATAAAAATTTGAGGGGAAATCCTTTTAAGTTGAGTAATTTATCACATCCTTTAGTTGCTAAAATACACATCACATATCGTTGAAAATAACATTGCATCAGTTAAATAACCAGATCACTCTTTCTGGAGGTAAAAAACAACAACAAAAATATTTTACTTAAAAAAAAACTGTGAGGCATAAACATATGTGGGGAGTCTAAAGAAATTGTCAACAATAATACCCTCTGAACCTCTGATGGGCAGAAAGGGAGGGAAAGTGGGCACGCAGGGGAGTTAGAGAAGACTCATGAGCATGTGGCGTCTAAAAGAGTGTAGATAATTTCAAATTTGATATGAACAGAGAGCAAGTGTCCTAGGCATAGTTAACAGCATGGGGAAAAGTCCGGGGGGGAAAAAAATGAATAAAATGAAGCATGAGAGAGGCGGAAAGTGGTCCAGAGTGAGTGAGTCGGCGACGTGGGGGCCGTCAGGAACCTGCCGCAAGGATGCAGGAAGCTCCCGCAGAGGGAGGCGCCACGTGGCTGCTGACTGTCCAGGTGCCACACAGCCACCCACCACGCCGTCTGTGGCAACAAGGCACTCGTATAACGCGACTTCGAGAGAAGCGTATGCAGAAAGGCCCTGAATCTCCGACATACGCCCGCTTCTCCTTGTTCAGGGTTTCTGTCTGTACGTCATCCAGGGAGACACAGCAGACAGGACAAAGGAAAAAAGGGGTGT